CTTGGTCGGACGTTGCCACATGCGGCTTAATTTTTTTGGTGTAATTGTAGGCATTATTTATTTCTTTATGGTTAGACGTGTCTCGGCTCTGCTCAGGCTGGTAAAACTTCTGGACTCGAGCTCACCGCCTAGCTGCCCGAGTGTAGGATTACAGGTTGAGCACCACCCTGGCTCAGATGGTTCATGAATTTACTAGTCATCAAAAAAGGGAGGCGAGGAGCTGTTATTCAGGCTGTTCATCACAGTACGGGGTTAGGAGACTGGGTGGGCTTAACCCTTGCACTCGTGTTGGTGTGCCGACACGGTTAGCACGTGCGCAAGGGAAAAAGCAAGCGAGTCAGGTTAATCAAGTCAGTCTCCATTCCACTGGGATAAAGTAAGAACGGGAGACCGTTGGGCAGGTCCTTCCTTGGTATGGCGGTGCAACGTTCAATCAGCGGCAGGGACCGTGGCATGGTTACATGCACCTGTCACCGAGCGGGCATCGGTTCCGGAGGAAGAATCTCTCATCGTAAGTCGTCACATGGCATAGCGAACCACGCGTGCAGCGTACTGCCGGCTGGAGGACGTACTGGCGGGGCACGCTTCACGGGGTCTGTCTACAGTGAGGCCGGATTCCCGTTTAGACTCTCAGCGGGAGCGGCGGCCGTCCCGCTGCCGCCAAGACTGTTCGGGTTTCTAGCCAGTTCAAGCAACTACTGAGCAGTGGAGAATCTATGGGACATGAGGGGCGAGCTGCTTTGGCTCGACGTGTGATGCTCCTACCCGGGGATCTTCCAAGAACGCTGGATTGATGATGGTTTCGGTCCGGTGGCCGCACAGCAGGACTGTGGTCCGTGTAAGCCACTGGGCAATGAGGAAACTTAACACCACTCGACCTGTAGCACTGAACGATAGAATAAATGCCAGCAGCACTGGCCGTGCGTCTCTAGGAGAAAATTAAAGCGTTCAGTAACTCTGGAGTCACTGTGTCCATACCACGCCGCGCAGACCCAGATGCGAGGTCAGCGCGGAACGTCGTGGGCTCGCCGGGGCGTGGACTCGAGAACTACCTGCCCCACGGCTGATCACTCGGAGCTGTGGTCATACTGCGAGGAGGGGTTGACCCAAAAGGGCCCACGGCCGGTTCAATGGAGGATGCCGGCCCACGCGGCCTTTACCTGTCATTTTACGAAAAGGTGATTGTCCGCTCGAAGGGTTCTGCAACCACAGGGATGTAATTTCTTCTCCAACCGAGAAAACTCCCAAGTCCAACGCGCTGTGGGACAGCGGAAAAAAAAAAAAAACAAAAAAAAAAAAAAAAAAAAAAAAAAAAGAAAAACTAACCAAGACCAATCGCCAGGGAGCTGCATCAGGACCGGCAATCTCTGATTCCAGAGTCACAAGGTCACCCACCTCTTGAGATTCCAGACGCAGACTCCGGCCGGGAGGTTCTCTACAGTCTACCCAGTGAGAGGTCTATCTCCGGACAGTGCAGATTATGATGTCACTAAAATACTTTTTTAAAAAATCTCTGATTTTGGAGAAGGAATAGAGGGAGGATGTACAACAAGGTGGAAGGAACACACGAATGCTCGTGACCAAATCAACATTGTGAAAATTCTCGTACTACCCAAAGGAACCATACCGGTCAATGCGGACTCTCTTTAATAATCTCATCTTTTCACGATATGAAGAATATTTTCAACCATCTTCAATATGACAGAGAGACCCGTTGCAAGCAATCTCATAAAAGCAAAAAATGGGAGTAATCATTTACCGATTCAACTATACCACAAGAGCTAATAGTAATTAAAACGCTTAAGCGAACTGGCACAAGACCATGGGACACATTGACCAGTGGAACAGGAACACAAGAAACACAGATACCGGAAAACATCCTACCATATAGAAGCACAACAATCTTTGACAAGGCAGACAAAAAATAACAACTGGGAGACAACGAATATCCTATTCAATAAATGGTGCTGGGGCACTGAATACACATAGTAAGAAACTGAAGCAGGTCCAACCCTTTCACTCTCACAAAAATCACACTACCACTGGTAACAACTTAAACCTAAGTGGTGAACATATATAGAATGCATAAGAGAAAAATGGAATACTCTTACTAGAATTGCATCAGGCAAAGAATTTATGAAGAAACCCAAAAGGCAATTCACAGAATCACAAAAATACATAATGGGACTAGAATCAAAATTAAAAAAGTTATCTGTACAGCCAGAAACTGTTATCATAAAGAACAAAACACGATACCCACGGATGGCGAAATATTTTCAAAGCTACACATCTGATAGGCTGATAACCTAGAATTATTTAGAAACTCAAAATCGCAAGGAAATCAAACAACCCTATCAAAAAAGTGGGCACGGACGAAATGACAGACACTTCTCAAAGACAGAATAATGGCAAACAAATATGAAAAATGCTCAACATTACTATCATCAGGGAAAGTGCAAATCAAAACCACAATGGATATCACCTTATTTTCAGTGGGACAATGCCTTTATCAAAGTCTCAAATAATAAATAAATTGGGCAGTGGATGTGACTAGATAGGAACACTCACTACACTGCTAGTGGGACTGCAAACTAGTTCAACTCTGTGGAAGCAATATGGAGATCCTTACAAAGAGATACAGTAGATCTCCATTTGATCCAGCAATCCATTACTGGCGATTTCTACCCAAAAGAACAAAAACACTATTAAAAAAGACGAACCAGCACAATTGATGTTTATAAAGCAATCAAATTGCTAAAGATTGTGGAAACACACCAAGTGCTAATCAATACACGATGGATTAATAAAATGTGGATTTGTAATACCATGGATACTCTTCACTTAAGCGAAAAACAGTGTGCAGCACCTCTTGTATTTCTCTGGATAGAGCTGAACCCGATCATAACTAAGTGAGTATCCAGAATGGAAAAATGCAAGCAATACTCCCAGCCAAATTGTGTTAACGGAATCAACACTAAGTGGATACAGATCAAATAACAAATTACTGGGTGTAGGCAGGATGGTTTGAGGGGGGAGAGAGGGGATGGAGTATATACATACTAATGAGTGCGATGTGCAACCGTCTGAGGAGATGGACACACTTGAAGCTCTAACTTAGGGGGGAGGGCAAGCAGGAACACACGTCATCTAACCATTCTATACCCCAATAATATGTGAAATAAAAAAAATTTCGGTTTTGGTAAACATCACTAAATTAGCACCCTCAGATCATTGTTACGTGCACACTGAGTACGTTTCCCGAGTCTGTGCGAATCGTACCCCGTCCGTCTCCAGAACTTGACATCTCGCAATAACCGCAACCTTGTCCCCATTAACATTAACTCCCTGCCAGCCCCGCACCGCCGATGCACCGCTCCTGTGAACCGGCCACTCAGGGACCTCAACAAGCGGATCACACAGTGTTTGATCTCCAGAACTTGACATCTCGCAAAACCGCAACCCTGTCCCCATTAAACATTAACTCCCCTGCCCAGCCCCCGCACCCGCCGCTGCACCGCCTCTGTGAACCCGGCCACTCAGGGACCTCAGACAAGCGGATCCACACAGTGTTTGACCTTCTGTGCCTGGTTCTATCCCCGAGTCCCCTCCGTGTTGTTGAAGGTGGAGAATTTCTGTCCTTTCTCAGGCTGAACAATATCCCGCCGTGTGCGCCGCGCTTCGCTGACCCATTCGTCGTCCCGCGATGGACGCTGTGGCTGTTCCACCTCTTGGCCAGGTGCACGGCCTTGCCGACGACTGGGCTGCAAAGTCCACTTTTGAGGGGTTGAAATCACCAGAGAAAAAGTTCCAGGCTCACAGCTCCCAATGAAGGCAAGAGCTTGAGGTCACAGCCGTGAGGTCACACACCTGGGAACCCCGACCGCCCCGGGATCAGGGGCCCGAGGCCCTGTGGACGCACAGGTGTTCTCCCGCACTTGGAAGCTGTCTCCTGCCCCAAACCGACGTGCCGTGTCCCATGTTAGGCAGGAGCAGGGTGGGGACCTTTTCGTGGCGGAAGCCGCATTAATTCTGCCGTCGTTAGGCCACATGCGAGAAACTTCAGTTACCTGTACTTAAAAATGTACATTAATTCAGCAAGTTCTCCGTAAACAAACAAAAAAAAAATGTACATTATTTTGTACAAATCTGGCTGCTTTGTACTTAATAATTTTGAAAAGTGAAAACTATTGGCTAATCTTAAAAGTTATCTAGCCTTTTAACAACTCTGCTGTGTCTGCTTTTTGTTGCAAAGCATTTGAATATCTGGTTGCAGTGTGGAGGTGGCAGTTGCCATTGATCCTCTAAATCGGCATCAGTCATTTGTGACCTTAAGGGCGTCTGGATTCGGGTTAGGAGGGAGAACGTAGATTTGCAGCAATAAACGGTTGAAAAGCAAGAAAGCATTTTTCAGACACGTTGCGGGAGGTGTGGGTATTCTACTGCATTTTTCCATATTTCAACTGGATCTTTCTTAGCATCAAAGAATGACTTTAAAGTGTCATCTCCTGAGAGCTCAATCAATTCCATCTGTAGGTCTTTAGGTGCCTTGGTGATAGCCAGGTGAGGCTGAGATGCTAATTTGAGTGGATGTCGTGATTCTCAAAGTCAGTGGCCTTTCACTGTATTCTCCAATTAGTAGGTCTATAACAGCTGCGTATTCAAATGATTTGCATGTATCATCCTGCTCATCAGTGACCTTTGCCAACTAGGTAAAATATCCACCCCAAATTTCCTTTTGAAGAAGTGTTTTGCACAAAGACAGCTTTTTTCAAAATGCTTAGATTTTTTTTTTTTTTTTTGCCACATATCACATACGGACTGAGTTTTACCTTGCAAAGAAATATTCAGGTCATTTTGATCCGACCTGACATCACACAGAAATGCTGCATTCTTATAAAAATCCTTCGATAATTAACATGGCTGATTCTGTTCTCCATAAAATTTAACCCTCTGTTCTTGTGGAGATAACATTTTGGCCTAACACCTGTCCCTGCGACAGCCAACGCACTTTAGAATGGTACGGCAAATCCACACTGAACACCTCATGGTTCAACTTTAGCGTGTTACGAACTGACAATGCTGTGTCGCATTTGCCTGAAAGTAGTTAACAATACTTACGAATTGTTGCAAAGTGTCACTTAAAAAATAGCAGCTTTAGCACAGAGATTTTGCTGATGCGAGATACAATGAGGAGAAACGAGAGCACCTGCATCTGTTCATCTCGAAAGTTGCTGAAGATATCTATTCCCCGTGTTCTGTTCACGAGAGCGCCCAAAGTGAGTAACTCTTCATGGCAAAGAAAATCTTCTGTGATGACTCGAATGTCAAGTATAAAAACCGCACTGACTCAGTAGTATCAGTTGATTCATCCAAAGCAACTGAATAATATGTACTTTGTATTTTCCTTTTGAAGTATTGCATGAAGTTCTGTGAAGTCGAAGGTAAATTCATGCTGCCAATCAGTGGCCGTTCTCCTTGGAGGAGGCAGTTGTTTTTGCTTTGAAATGTTATTGGGGTCTAGGCATCCTACAACTTCGACAGTACTCTTTCACAGTTTCTGCATCACTGAATGGCTTCCCTTTTCCCCCACGAGTACATAAGCTACTTTATAAGTTGCTTCAGTAGCATCATTTCCAGGTCTTACTGCTGCTTGAAAGAATTGCCTTTGCTTTTGCTTTTCATCTTTTAATTTCTGCAATACAGTCTTTCACACCTCTTACTCTAATTTAAAATATTTGTGGTCCTTATGAGTGTGTTATAATGCTGATGAGCATTGAATTTCTTTAATGTTGACATTGTAGCATAACAAGGCAAACAAATCATCTCATCTTTAGCCGAAATAAGATTGCAATTCCCAATCCTCATTTAAAAAAATCTGTTTTCTTCCTTCAGCGCTCTCTTGGTCTTCTTTGACATGATGGGCTGTTAAGCAGACGGAATAAAAAAATATTGTCTAGGCCGGGCGCGGTGGCTCACGCCTGTAATCCTAGCACTCTGGGAGGCCAAGGCGGGCAGATTGCTCGAGATCAGGAGTTCAAAACCAGCCTGAGCAAGAGCAAGACCCCGTCTCTACTAAAAATAGAAAGAAATTAATTGACTAACTAAAAATTGCTCATCAGGTGACCTTCTGCCAACTGGGGAAAACTCATCCACCCCAAATTTCCTTTTTGAAGAAGCTGGTTTATGCACAAAGACAAGCTCTCTTTTCAAACTGCTTAGTTTTTTTTTTTTTTTTTTTTTTTTTTTTGCCACATATCA